ATTTTTTTTTTAAATGAGCTCAGCTTTCAAAACAAAAGCAAAAACAAACCCTGGCAAGCAAGTATAAACTTTGAGGACCAGGCATCAGGTTTCTTGTCTGATGGGGACAGTGAGCTAATTATACCAGAAGCTGCTGGTTGCATGCTACACTGGGGCTCAGAAATAGGAGATTCTGAGATTTCCTTTTGTTGACTGCCTGCTGTTTAAGACTTTAGAAATTATCTGGAGTCCTTAGTTACTTGAGGGGTGAAACTCTGCTTGCTGATTGACATACACGTATTGCCATCATTGGCCTTAAATCCTTAGGATTTTTCTATCATTCTCATATATTTATCACTAACCTCATATCTCTATGTGTTGTGTGTGTGTTGTGTGTGTGTGTGTGTGTGTGTGTATGACAGTACTGAGGCTTGAACTTAGGGCCTTGCACTCACACTTGACTCTTTTTCTCTACTTCCAGCTTTTTGGTGATTAGTTGGAGATAAGAGTTACAAGGGCTTTTCTGTCTGGGCTGGCTTTGAACCTCCATCCTCAGGTCTCAGCTTCCTGAGTAGCTAGGGTTACAGGCACGACTCTGCTCAGTGTCTATTTACTTTTAAAACAACACTTACAATGTGAAATTAATACTAGCTCCAATGATGTTGCTAATATCTCCGAAAAGCAAAAATTTTGTACCGTGTATGTTTGCGCGCGCGCGCACACACACACACACACACACACACACACTCACACACACAAGTCCAGGTGCTAGGTAACTGGGTATTCTAGGCAAATAGCAAGCGCTAGCCGGAGGGGTGTTTAACCAACACTTGTTGATTGATTGGTGGGGCATGCTGACTGAGCAGGCCTTAGACAATAGATTCTTTGTCCAAACACTAAGGTACATTGTTGAGCCCATTTTTATTACCAAGCTTTCCCGCCCCCCCTCCCCCATATTGAGAGGGGATTGCCAGCCAAAAAAAGTTGAACATCCCTAGAGCTCAGATCCACAAAAGAAAGCCTTGGGCCTTAACTTTCACACCTGTTTTCACTCTCAATGGTGGAGGTAAGGGCCTGGATTCCGCAAACAGCACCCCACAGTTAGAGGCCTAGGCCAGCTACAAACCCAGCTAGCTATCCCTTCTGTGGACTAGGGCCATTCCCACTGTTGCAAGCACAGTTTGTACACATTTTCTCAAAGAAAAACAAAAAGGATACAGAGAATAGAGATGGAGAAAAATAACATTGTAAATGATTTACCAAGCCGGCTAGGCCTTCCTGCTTCTTTTTCCCAAGAGGCTTTCTTCCAATGCATAAAATAACAAGTTCCACATTCCACATAGCAGTCAGTGGACAGCCATGTCCACTCAATTCAGTGGATCCTTCCAGGAAGAATGCTTGGCCTCCTGACCCTTCCCTCCTATCTGCACCCTCTTCTCTTTCCTCATGAGGCTGCGTGCAGGGCCTCTGCAGCTTTTGTAAAAAGGGAAATATTCCTTTTCCTGTGGTGTCCTGACTCTTTGGTCTTACTTTTGACGTTGTGGGGTTTTTATAATGACTTTGAAGTTCTGACCTACCTCCCTTTCTAGAACTTCTACTGTCTACCTGTCTCCTAGTTACCAGGTTTTTCTATCTGGCATGAGGATGGTAGCTTTTTCTGATCTGACTAGTTTTTTGTGGTGGTGGTGGTGGAGGTGTGTGTGTCACTGCTGGAGCTTGAACTCAGGGCATTGTTCTTTAGTTTTTTCACTCTAGGCCAGCACTCCACCACTTGAGCTACAGCTGTAATTCTGGTTTTACTGTCTTATTTATTTCTTGTGGTGGTTAATTGGAGATAAGAAACTCCCTGACTTTTCTGCCCAGGCTAGCTTTGAATCGGATCCTCATATCTCAGCCTCCTAAGTAGCTAGGATTACAGGCCTAAGCCACCAGCACCTGGCTAGCCAGTTTTGAGGTGCAGCTCTACCTGAGACGCTGAGGTCCTCCAAAGTCTGTTTTTAACAGACTTGCATTTACACTATATACCAACACGTCTTGCATTTATACCATTTTTCATGAACCCCAAATCCTGTACCCCTTGCTATGTCCTCCTATGTACTTCTATGTCGCTACTGTCTTGCTATTTTGGGAAATGTAAACATACCAATTCACCTTTCTTCCCATCTTTTTCTGGCTCTGGGGAGAAAGAGTATTGGAAAAAAGGAAGGGGCAAATCCATGCCAGATTGACCCTTCTCTTTCTACTATAAGGAATTCTCTGAAGCTCAACATCAAAATCCTCTTCTTCCAATTCTTGCTTGGAATCTTGAGTACCTGATCTTGAATTTCTATGGCGCTCCCTGAGCGCGGGACTGGCTGGCAGCCATGTGATATTGATTTGTTTTCACCATAGCAACAGCGAATTAAAACAACGAGCAGAGGGAAGGCAGGCTGTTCCGCACAGAAGCTATATGACCAGTAGATTTCACAAGCCTATTTTTTCTTGTTTTCTCTCATCTTCATTCTCCTTTCACAAATTTAATACAAAAGTCCAAGTACAAATAGGACTAAATGCTTTTCTTGGGCATTCTGGAGACTAACGTGGGGTTGGTCTGGCATACGTAGCTTCTAGTATATTAGATTAGATCAATGGAGAAACTGAAAACAACAGTGCAATGATTTCCTTGGAAACGGTATTCATTTGTAAAGGATAAATATCCCTAGAAAATTCCCATGAGCACAGATTGCAGCATTTTATATATGATTCTGTATTTCAGTACCTCAAAGCCACTGTCAACAATTTCTTAATACTCCCCTTTGTACTTTAAACAGCTCACTGTGCCATGAGACATGCAACTTTTTTTTTTTTTGTACAAGGTCAAGGTCTCCTAAAAAAATGCTAGACTTAGGAGCAGTGTAGCAATTAACATTCAGTTCTGTTAGATGGAAAAATCAAGGTAAGCACTTATTCAAGGCTACATAAGTGGTGGGAATTCCCAGGAACTTCAGTGTGTCCTGACCAAAACTGTTTTTTGTTTTTTTGTGTTTTTTTTTTCCTCCAAAGGCTCCTTAGTAAACCCTAACCTCAATCTATCAGACCAAGATCGCAAGTAGCACCTGTGACACAGGTTAACAGCTGGTAGTATTGTTGTTGATTTCCTTTGGGCCATCTGCCCTAGAACACAGTGCTTTATGTATAAAAGCCGCTGGTTCCCACCATCACAACCAGCCTTGAACTTGGTGGCATAACCTGAAGCCTAGATAAGGGAACCCCAGGGTAGATCGACACAGGTGACTAACCATGCACCACAGGAGTTAGGCCACAAAGGGGGAAAAAAACCCACACAAAACGCTGAGCTCAGCTCTCTGCACCAACCAATTCTTACCAGCCAAGCCAGATCCCTGCAGGAAACCTGTGCTGACCCACAGGTAGAAGTTGCCCTATTTAGAAAGGGGAAATCGGCTGTGAATTTGCAAAGAACAGACTGGAATATAAAGACATTCACTCAAATCCTGCCAACTGGGAGTTAGCATGTTCCTAGCCAGCATCTAGAGAAATTTTCCTCTCCACCAGCCGAATAAAAAGAACACACAGCAGAAATAGTTGGGGGATGACGTCAGAAGTTCTGGGCTAGTGTCCTGAACTTCTCCTTGAAAGTAAGAACCGTGGGTCTGGAAGAATCTACGACGTGGCATTGCTTTTACTTCAGTGAACACCACTGCCCCTCCAAAGCAAGCAGGAAGGATAAAGAAACTTCCTCTTGCGTAGCGATTATAAGAACGTCCTCTGCCTTTAATTATTTTTTTAACCTTATTGTTCTCCAAATACATACTCTCCAATTAACAATCCCTTTCCACTTAACCTTTATCTTTTAAAGGGACAGTAATGCGTCTTGGAGAACGCCGTAGTAGCAGTTGGGCAAAGTCAGATTTTTTTTTTCTTCGCTCCAGTGCTTGCTAACTATTCTAAAAATGTTACACATTTATTGTAAACACATGCTTCCCCGAGAGGCCTAACAAAAAAAGCACAGTTTCTTCACGCCTGGCAGAAATTTAAAACGGAAAAGGGCAGAAAGAAATCTTTAACAAATATATCCTTTCCTCCTCCTGGGCCAAGTGTGTTAAAAATAAATCTTCTCCCATCATCTCTCACTGGTGTTTTCTCGACAAGAAAGTTGATAGAGCTGGGCACAGTAAAAACACGGCTTTCAAAGCCAGCCTGCTCTCATTAAATTATTCTGCTGGCTGTGTGTTCTCATTAAAAATGCATACGGATCGGATAATTGCAGTAAGCATTATTAACCCAGCTTTACTTTTGAATATAATGGTTCTACTTCTAAGGAAGAAACAAAGGCTCAGACATGCCAGGGAAAGAAATGTAAACATTCAACTACAGTAACGAAACTTGCCAGAAAGCTACCTCTTAGTCCTTGTTTTAAATTGTGCTCTTGAAACTCAATTAAAACTGTAGCATTCTAAAGCCAGGGAGGCCTCTCATTTCTCAGAAATAGATGATATCTTTGTGGCCCAAACATTAAGATCATTTACTATAAAGTTGATTTTCTTTTTCTTTTTTTAGCAACAACAGCAACAAAAATTTCGTAACTGCCAAGCAGTCTGTTTTCAAATAACAATAAGATCCCTGTAAACTTTACTTACGGCAGTGACGGATATTTTCTAAAACAAGAAAATAAGAATGTTCTCAAAAATTTCAAATTTTCCCCCTAAACATGAATAATAACAAAAAATAATAAATAAATTCAGGCTCTGAATTAAAAACTCACTTATCTACCCCGCCCTAAAATCCACGGCGTTAGAGTTCTAGCCTTTTTCCTCAAATCAAAATGTTACGTAAAAAAAGGGGAAAAAAAATCTCTAGGCTTCCGTGCAAGTATTTCATCTGAATTAGTGGAATCCGGTCTCCCTGGCCTCCGTAAGCAATGCACATGGAATGCACCATACTGCAGCAAACTCTTTAAACATTCAAGAAAGAAAGAAAAAAAAAAGGTGGGGGGGAGGAGGGAGTGGGGGTGACTCTCCTACCTTGTTTAGCTCGGCTGGTCCTACTCCTGGACGGTGACCCCAAGAACATCTGGTAGGATCCAGAGGCCGACGCTTCTCCACCGCATCACGAGGAAGAAATTTCCAGGCCAATAGTTCTTCTCATCCCCAGTTTATGGTCCTCGGGAAAAGCCGCCTGCCGTATCTGGAATTTGTTGGGTTTTTTTCTCTCTCTCTCTCCTCTCTCTTCTTCTTCTTTTTTTCTTTTTCTTTTTCTTTTTTTTACCTTCAGATGATGAAGCAAAGACAGTCTAAACTCTGTTGCTGTGAAATGCAGCTCTTCCTTCCTCCAAGCCACGCCCCCGCCGCGACCAGCCAATCGGCGGCCAGCTCGTCAGCCCTCCTTGTCTGCGCCGGGCCCTCATAGGATGACTGACACAGCAACACGGCGCTGGCAGCGTCTGAAAACAGAGCATCCATACTGGTGAGAGAGGAATTTCCCTCTCCGAGAGAAAGCAGTCACCGCCGCACCGAGACAAAGTGGCACGTAATTGGCCGAGCCGGGAGGGGGCCAGCTTCGAGGCGAGCCCGCCCAAAGCTGTGCAAACACGGAACTCCGCAGATTCTACAGGGACCCAGATTGGACCTGCCACTGGAGTCCTGAGACCGTTTGACAAAACATGTATGTGCGTCTGTCTATCCACATATCTAGAGATCTGTATATCTGCATCTATATATGAAAACAATTCAATATCTGCCGTGCAAATCGATACCTTAGAAGACATTTACATGTGATTTCCATGATGCAGGGAGAATTGGCCCAATTCAAACATCAAAAACCTGCTTCTAAGCCCTTGCCTCTCCTGCAGGCTCTCTCTTATTGCAGTGGTTACATCCTGTGGCCCGTATAACCTTCTGGCTGCTTTAAGTTTGCAGACCACTGGGGACTTCAATTAGGGAAGACTGAACAATAACATCGATATCTGCATTTTCACCCTTTGTGTTCTTGGCAGGCACCCACAAAGGTTTAGGTGTGTCTTCATAGTCTTAGATACCACTTGATAAATCACTCGCCTTGGCTCATGTTGTCATTCACGAAGCAATGGTTACAGGAAGGTGTTTACTGCGGAACCTCTACACCTGGGACACACACGTGATCCGCGAGGGATACTTACCTCAGACCCCACTCCAGAAAAAGACGTTCCAGAAGCTGATGAGGCTCCTTGAGATAAAGCCACAAAAGAGAAATGAAAGGTTAGGAAGGGTTACTTATTTTTTCCAGTCAACAACATTTCTACATGCTTTGAAAACAAAAACCAAAAACATATGGCATTTAGAAAACACAATAAGCACACATTTTCTTTCCACTAACCACAACATTTTGAATATATATATATATGATGAGTCTGTGACTAGACAGGCAAGAACAAAGGCCCTATTCATAGAAAAGGTTGGACCCACAGTATATATATATATATATATATATACATATACATATATATATATGTAACTGTTTAGTGCATCTGGAATGAGGTTAATGAGGTATAATGTTTTTAATTTGCCAATTGCATTTAAAAAACATGCTTCGTATGAGTGGAGGACTATTTTCTTCAATAGAGTACAATGCTTTATTCTCCTTGATTTGTATTTACTCCCATGTAAATCCATCAAATATCATAACTTCAGACTTTCATCTACTGTAATTTTTCTGCAAACTTAAATTATCTCTGTAATCATACAAGTATTCTGTACAGGTAGGCACCAGTGGCTCACACCAGTAATCCTAGCTATTCAGGAGGTTGAGTTTGAAGCCAATCCAGGCAGTAAAGTGTGTGTGACTTTTATTTCCAATTAATCACCAAAAACTAGGAGTTAAGTTTTCGCTCAAGTGGCAGAGTGCCAGCCTTGAGTAAAAAAAGTTAAGGAACAGCACCCAGTCCCTAAGTTCAAAGCCCCAGTATGGGCACAAGAAAAAAAAGATATATCAATACACTTATACTGCACACATATGGGCCTTTCCTCTTCACATCTTCTGATTCTGTCTTTGATATCCCCATTTCTCTAATCTTATTCCTGAGTCTTTAACCATCTTTGACTCCTATTTCTCAACTCCAGCTTCTCATCCAAAGAAATTGTGTTGTTGATTTTTCCTCTTCAGCTAGTCTAAAACTCTGACCTATGATCTGAGTGACACAAATGCTAATTAATGGCCAGGAGGACTCAGACCTTGTCTCTGGGCTTCCCTGTTGCCAAACAGGTTTTCCCAAATCATGTAAAGACATGTTCTTTTCATGCTCAAACCCTTCCCTCTATAAAATCCAAATTACAGACTTTCAAGGTCCTCCTACCCTGGCCCCTCCCCTTCGAGTCAAGTTTTCTTTTACTGTTTGCCCACTTGAACTTTCTGATGGCTCTGCCCTTACTGCTTCCGCTGTGCTTATTTCTGCCTGGCTCAATCTTTAGACCTCCACTCCCAGCTCCTGTCATCTTTCTTGTCTTCTCTGATGTTCTCATCAGCAAGCATGTTGCACCGTTCATTGTACCAGACCTTTAAAACTCTCAACAATGTTTCCTTGTGTAGATAGATTTCCTTGGTTGACCTTCCCAGGTGGGAAAACAGTTTGTATCCTACAAGAATTAAAATAATATGCACTAAACATGAACGCAGCAACCCACTAAATGACAGCCGCTCTTCCAGTTGTTTCTACACTGTTTAGTGTGTTCAGCAAGATGCCACACACAAACTTGCTGATTTCATGATTCCTACCTCAAGAAATACATCATACTTGTTCAACTGAATAAACTGGAAACATAGTCCATCTTTTTTGACCCTCCTCCCTAACCACAATCTGAACTCCATTATCAAACTCTGTTACATTTAATACCTGAATGTGTCACTGTGGTTTGCTTTGTCCCAAATTATCTCTGTGTGAGCCATCAGTGTCATTTACTTTGACCAGTGAAATAATCTTTAGGTAGTCTCCCAGACATATATGTGTGTGTGTGTATATGTGTGATGTGTGTGTGTGTGTGTGTGTGTGTGTGTGTGTGTGTGTGTGTGTTTGCTGGTACTGGTGCTTGAATTCAGGCCCAGGACTCTGTCCCTTAGTTCTTTTGCTCAGGGTTAGTGGTCTACTATTTGAGCCACAGTCCCACTTCCAGTTTTTTAGTGACTAACTAAAGATGACAGTCTCATGGTCTTTCCTACCCATGTTGGCTTTGAATTGAAATCCTTGAATCTCAGCCTTTTGAGTAGCTAGGATTACAAATGTGAGCTACTGGTACCCACCTCAAGATATATTCTTGACTTGCTTAAAGCCCTTTACATATAGAACAGTAATTCAAAAAATACAAATCATTTATTATCCTCCTTTATCATTTATTATACTCCTTTAAGACTTTTGTTATAGACTGAATTTTGTCACTCCCTTCAAAAAATAATAATAATAAAAAGTTCCGATGTCCTGATCCTAAAGTGAAGGTATTTGGATACAGTACTGTTGGAGGTAATTAAGTGTAGATGAGGTCATGGGTGTGTGGTTTTCATGATAGACATTTGTGTTCTTCTAAGAAGGGATGAGGGGGGAGAGAGGGAGGGAATCTGACTCCCTCCCCCTCTTCCTCTACCATGTAGGGATGCAGCTGTCTATAAGCCAGGAAGCCAAGCCTCTCCAGAATCTGACCACACTGGTCTCTCTTCTCAGATGTCCAGACTCCAGAGTTGGGAGAAAATAAATGTTTGTTGGGTAAGCCTTCCAGTCTCTTGTGTCCCATGAGCCTCTGACTGACTCTTGAGCCTAATCAAAGGCCATCTTTCCCTGTGACCCCGTCCCTGACTCTCAGGATGAACTGAGGCCTCCTGTTGTTTCCTCTTACCACCCCAGCCCTTGATGGCAGTGCTTCTCAAATTTTAATGTGTCTGCAGTTCCCCCAGGGACCTTGTTAAGATGCAGATCCAGTCTAGGTAGTTCCTGGGTGACTACAGAGGTTCTGCTTTTCTAACAAGCTCCCAGGTGATAGAGAGGCTGCTTGTCTGTGGACTTCGCTTCAAATGGCGAGATTTTATAGATGCTGTTGACTTTATAGCTCTTATGACAGGTGTTGGGTCTACATTAACCCGGTCAACTATTTACTCAAGAATTGCCTTCTCAGCCAGCTCGTTGGCATCAGAAGCCATCAGAAATGATCAATGACAAATGTTCCAAGAATGAATTGATTGCTCTGTTGAATACAGATCCAAGCTGGATTTTTCTTTCTTTGTGATATTCTGTCTCTGTCTCTCTGTCTCTGTGTATGCGTGTCTCTCTCTTCCTCATCTCCCCACATCCACCTGTTCTCTTCTCTTTGTTTTTATAATTTAATGTAACTTTCTTGAAAGTGTGAAACTGAAGCTTAATCTTGATTGAGGTTGTAACATGCTAAATAGGAAAGACAATGGTTGAGAAAACATAACAAGATGATGGTGCCAGGTATGGTGGCAAACACTTGTAACCTTGGCACTTTGTAGAGGTAGGAGAATCTTGATTTCAAGGCCAGCCTCATCTACATAGTGCGTTCAAGACCAGTGTGAGTTGCATAGCAATATCCTGTCTCAAAAAGCCAAGGGCTGAGGATGGAGTTTAGTGATAGACTGTTTGCCTAGTATGTATGAGGTCCTGAGTTTGATACCCACCCCTGGAAAAGAAAAAGAAAATAACTGTGTCCAAAATAAACAAAGGGCCACAGGAACAGAAATAAAAGACAGTGCCTTTGATTTGTCCAAAATTAGTTTTCAGTTGCCTTCCATAGGTTGATGAGTTCCAGGTTTGGAGCTCTAATTCCTTTCTCTTGACTTGAATGTACCAAGGAAACTCATCTTTACCCGATCTCCACCTAAAAGCATTTTCATTGCTATTGTTAGAACTTTTGGCAGACTTAACTTTATTCTACTGAAATATATTTCTCTTATGAGCATCCTAGTACCTGTGAGCAAAGTAACCAAGCCTTTCTTCTCTGTCCACTTATCCTCAGTCCTTCGAACATGCAGTTATGTAACAGGCACTGAATAGTTGAATGGGTACACTTGAAAATGGCACTAGAAATAAAGTGCCACAACAAACACAAGTCTCAAGTGAAAGACTAAGAGTGAAGCCATCATTAGAAATAAAAGATCGAGTGTGTATATTCACAAGTATACCTATGTGTGTATGTTAAACTTGGGCTGAAGAAGGGACCAGAGAGTTAGGCAGAAAGACACATGCATTGTGACATCAATCCTTTGTGACATCAATATCAATGCTAGCAAGTACTCAGGCAATAGGGAATGGTCTTTGAAGGTTTTTTTTTGGGGGGGGG